GCAGGTGATTATTCAGGTGTTTGCAGCTTGACATAATATATACTGTTAACTACTAGAAGTGTTCACAGTAGAAAGATAAATGTAGGAGTCAAGTGTATAATAGCATTCAAGCTGAGTTGTGAATAGTATTCGCGAACTCCAGTCTATATAGTTGTGTGTAGCCAAGGGCCGCTAGCCCTATTGATTACGCGAGAGATAGGAATAGGGGTAAAGAATCCGCGAGGAGCGGGATTTCTTACAAGATCAGATCTTCATATTTTACTATTTGAATATCATGAACAACTGAGAGAATAGTGTTAATTACAGAACATTGTTTTCTATCTCTCATTTATTCACTGAATAAAAGAGAGTTATTAATAGAGCTTATAAAAGATAGTTAAGTAGCTATTATCTTTTTCAAAATCTTTTCTAGACAGTTTAATAGAGATATTACTCTATATAACTTGAAAATTGAAGTCTTTCTATTAGATTTTGTAAGAATCACTTCAGTGGCTTCTCTCCAGCATTCAGAATGATATTCATTTTTCAAGAGATTGAAAAAGAGCTCAAAATATTCATTCTTTAAGTAGGAATATATATTTTGAATAATCAAGTGATTAATTAAATCAGGCCCTGCAGCAGTTTTAACAGAACTTGAGAAGATAGCTGACTCTAATTCATCTTATGTAAGATCAGGCCATTCTCAGTCATTTTCATCAATGTAGTTGAGAAGTGATATATTCTCTTCTCTGAATCTGAATCTGATAAGTTTTGAAAGAGAATTCTTACAAAAGCTTGACATTTTTTCTCAAAAGAGTTTGCTGTATATAATTCATTCTGAAACTCATATTCTAAGACTGAGAGTTTTACTACACTTCTTGTTTTAGTATAGTTAAAAGCTTTAAAAACTTCCTTTTCTTATGCTTCTTTAAGAAATTTATTCCAGCAGTCTGTTTTAGCTCTTTTAATATCTGAAAAATATTCATTTCTGACAGCTTTGAACTCTTTATCACATATTACATCATTCTTTTAATCCCTTCTAGCAGTAGCTAATTCTGTTATTATTATTATTATTATTATTCTTCCATTATACTCATATGCAAGCGGAGCTTATAATGAGTCCTTGCGTGATATTAAATACAAGTAGCTAATTCTTTTCGTTTAGATGAGATATTCTCATTTCATCAAGATTTTGAATACTCAGAAGATTTTCTCTTTGAAATATTATCTCTAACACTTGTTAGAATAATAGATGTAATGAGCTTCACTCTATTCTCAAGCATTTCATTTGAGATATCTTGACCAGAATTTCAATATAGCTCACTCTAACTTTCAGATTTTAACAGTTTTATGCTTTCTTCAACTGCTTTTCAATCAGCTTTTTCAAAGTTAAACTGATTAGAGAGAAGAGGATTTTCACTCATTTATTTTTCACTCAGTTCAATATCAAATTGAATAATCTCATGATCTGATCTCAATGTCTTATTTGAATCAATAAACCAGTTTACAAGTCTTTTTTTCATTAGATTTTATGATATGAAGATTAGATCTATAATAGATTTCTGTTTCATATCTTTTCTAAAGAATGTTTATTAATCAGACTTATTAACTAAATCTATTGAATGCTTAAAGGTTCATTCAATCAGATTATCAGCTCTTACTGCTCTCTTGCATTCAGAATTTCATCAGAGATGATGTGCATTAAAATCTCCTGCAATTATAGAGTTTCTTAATGAAGTTATGTTCAGAAATCCTCTATCAATTATTCAGATATTGTTATTTTTCTTCAATGACTTCTCATTATAGATATTTATGAGCTGTATAGTATCAAACTCATTCTCTTTATCTATAATATCACTCACCAGAATATCAGAGTCAGACATAATATCAAATCTTAGATTAAATTGATATCTTGATCTCTTTCTTTCATAGATTACTACTCTTGACTTTATCTCAGACTTTTGAGAAATTTAATATCTTGATCTCTTTCTTTCATAGATCACTACTCTTGACTTTACCTCAGACTTTTGAGGTAGAAAGCAGTAGTAGCTTGAATGAGAAATAATGTATTTTTACTCAGCATAAAAAATTCAGTTTCTGAAGTAGTATAAAATCAACTTTTTATTCAAATGCAATTTGAAGACAAGAATAAATACAATTTAAGTGTCTATTCACATTATTTTGAATAAATGTGATTTTTGAAGAGTTTTTAAACTTTTTTTGTTGTTTTTATTGTATATTCATACTAAAAGAGAGTAGTGATAGAGTAGAATCTAATCACTATCATCAGATAGTAGATTATAACTATTTTGAAAAGTAGGAATCTCAACTGCTTACATTATATCTAGTTTATTATCAGAGTCATTTCTCAATTCTCTAATCTTAACAGAAGTTTGAGAATTCAAATTCTGTTTACATTTAGCTAGAGAATTGAAGTTTGAAGATTTAAATAGTTGAGAGTTTCTTCTTTTTAAGCTTGCAGTTGTAAGTTTACTGACTTGACTCTTCTCTTCAGTTCTATATTGACTTTGAGCTTCATCTTTTCTTCAGTTCTTTTAAGTTCTTAAAGTAAATATACATTCTTTTGAGCTGAATGCATGTTTTTCTTTACAATTAGAGTACTTAAGCAGAGTGTGTTAATATATTTCATCTCTTTTTAAGCATGTTTCATATTTATACTCACTAGTTTTATGATCTCTGACATAGAATATACATTTTGAGTCTCTAAAACATGAGATTGTAAAGTGTTCATATCTTTGACAGTTTGAACACTGTGTTTGAGCTTTGAGATTCATTCTTGAGTCTTTGTATTCATGAACTCTCATTTTCAAATCTGCTACTCTTACTTCAGAGATCTTTGACTGTTCAAGTGTCTTTATATATACAAGAATAAAGACATTTCTTCTACTTTGTCTGAACTTAATTGAATTTAGTCATACAGACTCTTTTCTCAGTTGAATAGAGTTGTATTCTTTTAATTCATTTTTGAGAAGTAGTATTTCTTCTTCACAGTCAAAAATTTCAACTGAAATATTATAAAGAATGAATTTATTTCACTTTTCATCTCTCTCAGATAGAATTATTATATTGAGCAAAGATTCTACTGCTGATTTTCAGAGATTGACATTCTGAATAAGAAATTCTGCACTAAATTCAGACATTGTAGTTAGAATAATGAAGTTTTCAAAGAATAATAACTCAATTGAAGCTATAACTGATTTTTAAACTTCAATATCAGTTATTAACTGAGAAAAGAACTGCTGATTAATTTCATTTCAGATTCTGAAAATGAGATTTGAGTTTAGCTTATTTCTTTATAAGATATTCTGATTTAAGACTTTGAGAATAAGTCTTCTATTTCTGAAGATTTGAAAGTTTTTCTCTTTTTGTATTTTTTTCTTTACTTTTTTATAAATAGAAGTATGAGCAGTAATCTTCTCAGTTTTCTCAGGATTTTGAGCAGGTTTTGAGATAGCAGATTTAGAGACAGCAGATTCAGCTGCTTGAGCATATGTTTTCTTCTGATTTAAAAAAGAAGAAGAAGTAGAAAAAGAAGAAGAGTAAAATAATGAGTCAGTGATTATACTAGGAATTTTCGATGTTGTTTGAACTGTGTTTGAAATTTCAAGTTTAAACTTGATCATCTTCTGTAGTTGTCTAGCCTGAGCATGAAGAATTAACAGAACTTCTTCATTCATCTCACTCAGACACTGCTTTTCAAGAATCTTGCTTACTTTTTTAAGTTTCTGTATTTTAAGAACTTGTTATTTCTCTATTTCTTCTTTCTTTCTTCTCTTCAGAATTTCAATCTCAGAAATAGCATTTGAGAAAGCATCTTTTTTCACATCAACTGAGTGTATTTTTAAACTCATTATTCTCACTCAATGAAAAGTTGATCAGACTGTTTCAGTTAAGAGATTTCTAAGTCTGTTTTCAATTGAAAAGTTGATCAGACTGTTTCAAAAGAAGAATAAAAGACTTTTGTGTATAAAACATCTGATTTTTTTTCACACTAGTTCAGTAACTAGATTAGATTTTTGAAGAGAATCTAATAAACTAAAATTGATTTTTAAAATAAATCAATAAAATCTTTACAATCTCTTTCTTGAGATACAGTGAGAAAAAGTATGATATCAATTGATAATAAATCAGATAATATGACAGTTTTTGAGAGAAAAACTGACAAAAAATAAATTAATTTTTTGCAGAGAAATTGATTAAAACTATTTAATTTTATTCTAAATCATTCAATTCTTCTCATACAATAAGTGTACAACTTGAATCAGTTAATAAAGAGTGTAAAAAAGAATTAAGTATTAATAAAAGCTCTTCAGTCACTGAAAAAGTAATTCTTACTTAAAAGAATATGAAATTATAATAGAAAACAACTCTGTTTTTAATTCTTTGTAAGAATATTGTATAAAATTCAGAGAAAAATATCTTACTTTTTCAAGAGAAGTAAAAAACTATTTCTAAGATCTTTTTTTTTATATTAACTGCTGTAGAAGAATGAAATAGAAACTGCTAAGATATACACTACTGTATATCTTCTATCAAGACTTTCTCTCTTCAGTCTTGATATTATAGAGAATATAAGTCTGTTTCTATATAATAATGTAAATATTGTCAGCAGAATGTAGAGAAACTGGTTATTTATATCTTAAAATAGAAGACTTTGTCAATGATTATATCAATATAGAGTTAATTCTCAAATTCAATATAAATCTAGTATTGCTGTTCTCAATTCCTTGCAGAATCTATTGAATATTGAGATATTAAAACTAGATTTAATATATCTCACTGTGCAGGGATCAAAGGCTCAGCCAGATCTTGAAGTATACTGATTTTATAGTTATCATGTCTGCTGATTATGTATTGAGTACAGTTGCTGAGGTATCTCTTTGTATTTTTCTGCCGGGGATGGGCCAGATTGAAAGAGGTGGTACAAGGGTGGGACTTGTTGTTGATGTCTTGGTACACCAAAGACAGAGAGAGTTTTTCACGGAGAATACACTTCAGATATGTCCATTGATTATGTGCTTGATACTATTGCCAAGGTATCTTTTTGTACTTTTCTGCCGGCGGTGGGCCAGATTGAGAAGGGCGGTACGTGGGTGGGACTTGGTGTTGATGTTTTGAAACATCAAAGATAGACAGGGTTTTCATGGAAGTTGCTTCTCAGATATCTCCACAATTACAGGTCAGGGATCTTCCAAAATCAAGAAGATTGGCGCATATGGCTAGGTCTCTTCACCTTACAATTTGTATGGCACTTTGGCCCGGGGTTGTGGTGTGGTAGGGGTGAACGGGGGATAATCCCACACAGGAGTTTCGAACAACGTCTGGTTCACATTTGGCTGGATAACTCCACCACCACACGGGGTATGCGGTCGGCGATGGGGTTAAAATGCTTGTATGATCGAGGGCTTTTCGATGGATCTATCGGCGGGTTCTTATTCGAAAAATTGAGCGAGTTCGTGGTGGAGCGCTTGTGTATTACTCAGATAGAAGCTTGATATTCAATATGAAAATTCCTCTATCACATCATCTGCTGCTGCCTCTGCTGTTATCTCTGCTGCTTCACTCATCTGTCTATTCTTCAATACAATAAAAGTAAGTTAAATCTTAATCATAGATAATGTATAAATCAATCTCTAACTAAATAATTTAGTTAAATAACAATGTCTGTCTTACAGATTCTTGTAAGTGTAGACAAAGACCAGACTTATAAAGATTTCTGTATATAACTCTGAACATTGAATGATTATCTTATCAAGCTCAAGAGTATACAGAATAGTGATAGAAGATATTACACTCATACATCTGTACTGAGAAATAACTCAGTCACTCATACATCTGCACTGAGAAATGATAACAATGATACAGATATCATGAATTGAGTAGACTTGAATATCTATACATAAGTAAGAATCTCTGCTGTCTGAACAGGCTTTCAAGTTCTCAGAATCACTTCTGAAGAAGTTGCTGACTGACATCAATAAGAGATGTACATTAATTATAACTGATCAGAATATATCACTTTTAACTACTGATTAGCCTACATATCTTCTCACTTGTGGCAGGCTGCGCCCGATCAATCATATAGACTATTCCATTACACTTCACAGATTTCAACCACTTCATTCTTGAACGCGTACACTCTGATTCTCAGCCATTCTCAATCACTGATCCTCAGCTATTATAAATGCATATAGATTCTTCCGCCCCGAAGCTTCAGTGTGTACATCATCACATATGTGTATAAATATTCACTTTAATCACTGATTCTCACACTTTCTCTTTCTTTTTCTTCTCTAATGTTTTTCTCTTTGTTATATAAGATCTATCAATATCATATTAATCTATTCAGTGTAGGCCTCTTACACTAGAAAAACATTCATTATCTTCTTATTAGAAATGATTATTCACACATTGTCTTCTCATTAGAAATGATTATTCATTGAGAGATATCTGAACATGTAATGATGCATAAGAAATAGAGAAACAGTCAAACAGTTAAGCAGACACTGAGTTCTCAGATAGAAGCTTACTCATCAGTCACTCTGACTCTGTAACAAGATCTTATAAAGAGAGTAAGATCTTACAAAGAGAATATCAGTAAAAGACCTGAGAGTTCTGACACCTCAGACATATGAGATATTCATACAATTACACTTTCACAGATATCACACATCTGACAAATAATATAATCATGTCTAATAACAATATAGAAGAACTCTTGAACATAAGCATAGATATAATATCACAGTGACTCTGAGCAATATTGAAATTATAACAATAATAAATAACTGATATGCATGCAACTCAACAACATCAATATGAAGAGATTCAATAATTATTATAACAAGAAACTCATATAATTTCAACATCTACAGAATTGAATATAAAAGCACTGAAAGAACACTTAGATACTTTCATATATTTCAATACTTCTGATCTCACTCTCTACTCATTATAAAGAATGGAAATGCTTGCAAAACTGAGTGTAGATGAAGATATCATCAGTTCATTAATCAATCAAGATTGATATATCAATGAATAATTGAAGAATTGTGTAAAATAGAAGTTTCATTCATGAATGAAAGCATGTGAATCAGTGTTACAAATACCTGACAATATCATCAAATACCTTGATGTCCTGTTTCAAGACACTGCTATACAACAGAAAGTATTAGATTGATTACAGAGTATCTGACAGAGAAACACTTCTCTTACAACATTTATTCCTGACTTCAACATCAAGATTCTAGAAGCAGGTGATCAATCTTGAGAGAATCAAATGAAGATTAGTATGCTCAAGAAGACATTAACTTTTGAACTCTTACAGACTCTTGTAAGTGTAGACAAAGACCAGACTTATAAAGATTTCTACACACAGCTTTAGATATTGAATGACTGTCTGACCAAGCTCAAGAGTATATAGAACAGTGATAGAAGATGTTACACTTCAGTCACTTATACATCTATGCTGAAGAACAGCAATGATGCAGATGCCATGAACTGAATAGATTCAAATACCTATGCATAAGCAAGAGTTTCCATCATTCAAACAGGCTTTCAAGTTTCTAGAATCACTTCTGAGAAAGTCACTGATCAATATCAACATGAAGTATATATCAACTGTAACTGATTAGAACACATCACTTTCAGCTGTCAATTAATCTATGTGTCTTCACACTCAAGAGAAAGACTAGCATCTTCTCAATCAAGAGAAAGATCAGTGTCTTCTTATTCAAAGAATGAATCAGTGTCTGTCTGCATCAATCACATTGCAGTGAAGAAAGATTCAGAAGATAACTATAAGAATATCTCAATAAAACAGAGAAAATATTAGCTTCTGTTCAAATTCACAAACAGAAGCTTGAAGAGATCAGATGATAACAATTTGAAGAGAAAATAATAATGAATGCAATTCTTGTATCTACTGTGATTGATAATATGTATAATATGAAAGTCATGATAGACAGTGATCTATGTCACTATGTAATGATAAAATCTTCAGTCATAAGATATTATAATCTTCAGCATATTCTCTTATCAAAACCTCAACTTCTCACAGAATTTGATGATTCAAAAGATGTTTGTATTCATTACATGATGAAACTAAATATAGATGTGAGAGAACATTAATGTGAAGATGTCTACATATATGAAGTTGATAATCTTGATTATAATCTTATATTAGAACTTGTCTGGCTATCTGAACAAGATATCTTATTAAATGCTTGAAACAAAAGCTTGATATTCTCTAACAATGATAGAATTCATAAAGATGATATTCACAAGACTATGAATCTTATATAGATCTCTGTCAACACTTACAAAATACTCTGAAAAAGAAGTTATTATCAAAACTGCTGACAGAGTCACTGACAAGATTATCAACAGCAGAATAATTGATCAATCTATTCTGTCAGTCTGATCAATATTAAAAAGGCTCTAGAAAAGTTATCTCATATTATAATAACAGATTCTCATACAGAACTCTCTCAACAATATCATGAATATCTAGATATCTTTCAATAAGATAATAATGTTACAAATCTACCTCTCTTACAAGGTTCAGAAGTGAACCACAGTATCAAGTTAAAAAAGAGAGATAGCAAGAATTCTGAATCATCATAAGATTCTCTTTATAATATATCTCAAGATGAACTTCTTCTTCTTTGAAAGACACTCAATGATCTGTTGAATAAAGAATTCATATATATTAGTAACTCTTTCACCGCAGTCTCTATTCTCTTTACAAAGATATCAGATGAAGAACTTCAGTTCTGTGTGAATTATCAAGAATTGAATAGATTAATAAAGAAGAATCATTATTCTTTATCTCTTATTAATGAAACTCTAGCTTATATCAGACAAGCTCAATGATTTACAAAGTTAGATATTATCACTGTGTTTTATAAGATCTGCATCACTGAAGAAGATGAGTGACTTACAGCATTCTGAACATAATATGATCTCTTTGAATGAGTAGTCACACTTTTTGAACTAGCTAACACTCTTAATACATTTCAGAAGTATATTAACTAAGCACTCTGAGACTTTCTTGATGAATTTGTATCTGTATATCTCAATGACATTCTCATCTTCACTGATGAATTCAGAAAAGAATATCAAGAACACATGTGAAAGGTATTATAACAACTACAGAAAGCAGGACTGCTGATAGACATAGACAAGTGTGATTTTAAGATTAAAAGTACAAAATATCTAGACTTTATTATAGAAGCTGGTAAGAAGATCTGAATGAATTCTGAGAAGATCTCTGCTATTCTTGAATGAGAGGCTCTGTACACTGTGAAAGATGTACAAAGCTTCATCAGATTTACTAACTTCTATCAGTGATTTATATAAAACTTCTCAGATATCACAAGATCACTTACAGAACTCACTAAGAAAGACTCAGTATTTCAATGATCAGCAGATACTGAAGCTGCATTTACACAGATAAAGAAGATATTCATTAATATCTCTCTGCTGATAATATTCAATTCTGATTATAAGACAGTTCTTAAAGCTGATTTCTGTGACTATGTTATAGAAGAAGCTATATTGCAATATGATGATAAAGATGTTTTATAATTATATGTCTTCATGTCTAAGAAACTGAGTTCTGCTGAATGCAACTATGAGATCTATGACAAGAAACTTCTTACAATTGTACACTATCTAGAAGAATGAGACTTTGAACTCTGAAGCATCTTCAAATTTGAGATAATCACAGATTATAAGAATCTCAAGTACTTCACAACTATCTGTAAACTCACTGAACAACAGATATAATGATCTGAGTTCTTAAGTCACTTTCATTTTATAATACACTATCATTCTGACAGCCAGAACTCAATGATAGATGTCCTCTCATGATAAGAGCTAGATATATTATTCAATGTAATAGATACTCACTGAATGAATCAAGAGCATTAGCTCTTGAATCTGAAGATATTAGTTAATCAAGATGAAACAGCTCATGACACTATACATGCTTCTCTGATTAGAACACTCTCTCTCTGAACTGACACTGACACTGACACTAACACTGATACTGATATCTTGACTTCTTCTGAACCTACACTGAATGAATTATGACATGTAACAGCTCAAACTGATGAACTTCTTCAAGTACTCACTGAAGCAGTATATCAAGAAGCACTCTGATTCCTCTCAGAACTATGTATAAGAATTAACATCTCAGAATGCTTAATTAATGATAATAATACTCTGCAGTTCTGTAAATGATGTTGAGTCTCTTACTCTGAACTCTTATACACTCAGATAATGCAAGAGATGCATGATTCACATATGACTGATCATCTGAGTCATGAACAACTGTATTAAATAATCTCTTAAGAATTCTACTGATCTGAGATATTGAACAGCATCAGATACTTTATCTGAAACTATAATCATTATTTCTCTATCACTTCATAAAAGAATCATAGAAAAGACCTGCTGAAATTACTCAATATCTCTGATAGAATCTGATAAG